AATATTAATTAGTGATTGCTGTTGCCGTCAATCAAGCTAGTGCATCATTTGAGTCAAGCTTCAAGGACAGTCGGGCCATAATCAAGGCTCACTTGAACCAAGTCCTGACTTGTTGGGATGGCACAGATCTGCTGAAAACCTGGAATCTGTCTGCCTGGCGAAACTGCAATTGTTGTTGCTATATTATTGGGTATCGTCCTTTTTTTTCTGAATAATCCACAATCTCTGTGCTGTCTGTGTTAACAAAAGGATTGGTGGTGGGCCCCTCTTGGGTCCTATCCAAATCTGGAATGGTGGTTCTGTAAATTAAATTATTTTGCCTAATGTTATTGGGTTATAGGGGAGAGCATTGAGGTCACATGGTGTAGTTGGTTATCACGTCTGTCTAACACACAGACGGTCTCCAGTTCGAGTCTGGATGTGACCACAGCCACTTTGTCTGTTGTAAGGATTGGCATATCTTTGGATATATCCCCAATCTGAGCTTATGCTCTCTGCTGTGTGGTGAAGGATAAGGAAAGAATGCTTAACTGCAGTGCAGTTGGAATGCCGTTAGGATATGGTTAAAAAAAATGCTTCTCTGGAGAAGGTACAGTTTGCCTTGCTGTTAAGTCAATTGACTATGTAACACAAGGTTAAAAAGTTCAAGTCTGCACAGTTAACGGTTTGTCTGTGCCTCAGTTAAGCATTTTTTCAACGTTTGCTGATACGGTTCTGCACAAAAGTCGAAAATTGGATAAAAAAACACTTCCCTTTTTTTTTTTTTTTTTTTTTTTGGTAGTCGTCATTTTCGTCAAACTCCGCTTTTCAGTCTCCTTTTCTGCCTTTTTCAAAGGTGGACTGCTGCACCCACACATGGAAGAAAAACCAATGGCAATGCAAACGTGCAAAGGCACAAAAGCAAAATAGGCAGGTACACAAGAGTGTGGAGCATGCACACAAGACTGCCAGGCCTGACAACCCTCAGGTCCTTGTGGTTGTCCTTGTCATAATCATACCACAGGAGGCCTGCCACCTCCTGCTGGTTCTGCTCTGCCAGCTTCAGCGCCTTCACAACCTGCATTGCAGGTGCACAAAATATTCTGCATGCACTCAAAGAGGACAAGCACCTGCTAAAACAGCGGCCACTCGCACTAAAGATTCCTACCAGCAGAAGGAGGAGACTCAGGAGGAAAGCACGCTCTCACTGGGCCATTTTTGCACAATTTTTTTACCACAGTTTGGGACATCAAAACCAAACAAATTTGCAATTAATGACACTGCAGCTGCATCTAGTCTCTTGAAAATGCATCCACTGGCAAAACACTTCATAGGGATATTTGTATTCATGAAAGCAAACATCCTGACAGAGGGATTTGCCTGAATGTTGGTTTCCACCAGAGTAGTTAGGAGGTGCAGCTTCCTTGTTTTGTTGGACATGTCACACTACAATTGAGGAAATTGACGCTCCCCAATTAGAGAAAAACAATGTGGGTGTCGTTTGATAGCAGAGGCTTTGGAGAGTAGATTCAGTATCTCCAGTGACAGCACACTGATGTATATTATTGGGCAATGGCTGGATTATTGTTTTGGTATAGGGCGCGTCAGGACAAAACACAAAAATTTTTAACATGACACACTGTTGGCCCAACCTGAGTGCTGCACATAAAACCGAGCAGCCAAAACCACCAGCAGTGCCGAAAACATTGGGCCTCTTTGGCCAGCTCCACCTTGCCAGTGACACCCACTAAACATAATTTCAGGCTTTGAGGCCCCATCAGTGCAGGGGCAGTGGATTGAAAGGTGGGAAAATGAAGGAAGAGGAAAAGGAGGAAAAATCAGAATGAATAATGATGAACAAGGGGTGTGCCCCTTGTGCTTGGGCCAATTCAGCACAAGGAATGCAGGATGCTCTTTTATAGTGATAAACACTAGAGTCTGTGAGGGGATGTGATGAATGGTAATGAAGATAAAAATAAATTTAGGGGCCAATATAACAACATAGTCACAACTGGGGGAGAGCTTTTAGGGAGACTCCAACTAAGGCCATGATCAGTGAGATTTTATAATCTCACAAATGTGCATCTCACAGATGGTCAGAGGTCTCCCTGAACCCTCCTCACTAAGAGGACGACTTGTGTGATTCAGTACCAAGCCTGCGACAGCGACATTGGAGAGGCCCACGCAGGCTTCCTTAAACAGAGGGGAATGAAAAAAGGTTCAGAGTACTTATACAAATCTGAATTCTTAGAGATGGCATTCATTGAGGTTGTGGTCACATTTGTAAAGATAGTTGAGATTAATATAGGCTGCTTCTCCAAGGACAACTATTTACAGGGGAAGTGGCATTAGGAAAACGAGGAAAAGTAAGCAAAAGAAAGGAAGAATGAAAATTACTGACAAGGAAGAAAAGATAAGAGATAAGAAGCATTTACATGATTATGTACACCTATAATCAAGAGGCGGCTCCCAGGCTACATAGACCCATTTTTTTAACCAAGGAGCCAAATAGCTCTTTCATTATCACAAAGATAATGATTCTAATTGCACTGATAAGTGGCAATCCTCGTTCTAGGACTTAAAATTAAGTCTACATAGCGGAAAAATTATAAAAGTTAGAGAAATGACCGAATCAATTCCTCTTTCTGAAGGGTCAAAGGTTCGTGTGAAAGTATACAATGTGTTTTACTGAATCATAGATTAGGTTCTTCAGCTCTTATGCTACTATGACCCACACCTTATGTGATATACCCAAGAATCTAACACAGGAGACGCAGGAGAAGCGAATGGGCCTAGGAAGTTGGGTGGGTTGCCTTAGTGGGGAAAAAGATCTGATGGGGAAACAAGAAAATCCAAATTTGCTTGATTTTGATGTCCCGCACTGTAGGTGCTGTGTTTTGTGCAGATGCTGCTGTTCTTGGTGTGCAAGTGGGTTTTTGTTTGTGTGTATGCTGGTTATTTTGGTGTGGCTGCAGCCAAAGTGGCCCTTGTCACTCCTTTTTGGCGAGTACTTTATGTGATCAAACACAAAATTTAAATTCTTCGTAGTTTTCTTGGATTTGTGGATGTTCAAGCCAGGGAAGAGGTTTGGAAGACAGGCTTTGTGAGTGAGTGGATCGCCCAACAGCTCCTTTGGTGAGATTGGTGAACCAGAATGGCAGTGACGCAGAAAGCTCCAATGCAAATGTCACCAGCGCCGTGGAGGCACAGGGGATCGAACCCTGGGCATCTCGCATGCGTAGCGAGCTATCTACCACTGATATATACCCCCAATAGTGGTACAGAGACCCCTTAGTACTAATAGCAAAACTTGCTGTGAAGCCTGGGCACGGTAGGTGCTTGAGCTTTAAACATGTTCCACACAACATGCCAGTGCTGGAAAAGGAAGACTGCATAAACAGGGGCTATTCAAAGCTGCCAAACACGCACTCATTCCTATCACATTGCTGGGGTGAGGCACACTGATGTTTTCAACCCAAGCGAATATCAAAACCACCTCCAGGTGCTTGTGCAGTGTCAAAAGCAGTAGAAGTGTCAATAGCACTGGGACCAGTGCAAATGTTATTTTTACTTGCTATTACTCTTCAAAGGTATGTAGTGTGAGCAGATCCTGGATTTCAATCAAAGTAAGGCTCCAAGATAGGGTAACAAGCCACAAAAGGGCGTGTGGCAAAACGCTTGACTACAAATCAAGAGATTCCAGGTTCGACCCCTGGCACACTCGCTCCACACCCTCCTGTCTTGGGTGTGCAGAAAGGGTTGAAGGGTTAAAAGGAGTATCTGGGCTATGAGGGGTTGCGTAGAAATGAGGTCATGGGCCCAAATGCAAGGTGACAGCCAAGGTTGTTGGGCCTGGGGAGACTGTGATGGCGGTGATGGTGGCAATGACGAGAATGGCAAAACAAGACTGGTGAGGGAAGCGTCTTATCTTTTATTGAAAAACTGACAAAGTGGGGTCCAACATCCAGCTACGTCCTTCATGGCTGACTCAGGCTGTTTGCATTTGTAGAGATTTTTTTGCTCTTGGTTGGGGCAAGAGACAAACTTTTGCCATCTACCCCCAGGCCAGTGGCAGTAGCCTCTAGGTAAACAAAGGAAGGTGGCCTCCAGGCTGTGCCTTTTCTCCTGAATAGGGTCTGCCACAGACTGAACTGGGTCAAATCTGAAATAAATTTGAGTTTGATTTGAATTCGAATCAGACTTGAATCAAATGAATTCTCCAGTATAGAGTTATTTGAATTCGATTTGGTTCAGGTTTTATGAGTAAAAAATCGAAATTCCATTTGATTTGGCGCAATTTGAGTGCAAAAACAGCATTTATCAGATTCAGTTGTCTGGGAAATACATTTTTTCTTGTCATTTGGGTCTGGAAAGCAGAATCAAATCAAATCAAACCCAAATGGGGATCTGTTCTGTGGCAGACGCTACTTGTAAAATGCTTTGCAGCTGTCCACCACTGCTAGAAATCATTGTCAGCTCTGCTGCTGGCAACCTTGCGACATCAGGGAGATTGTTGCCCTCATTGCAGCATATGATGGCAAAATCAGAAAGAAAAGACTCTGGAGCTTATGGCCCTGCCTTGGCAAGTGATGGTTTTGGTTTCCTGAGAGTGACCCCCTTTGTTATGAATCACCCTCTGGAAACCTCTGGAACCTTCTAGAACATTCCTTAATGGAACCTTCTGGAACCTTCTGGAACCTTCTAGAACATTCCTTCATGGAACCTTGTGGAACCTTCTGGAACCTTCTTTGCTTTCCTGACTTGTCTTGTTGTCATTGGTATCATTGGTATCATTGTATTACTAATTGCTCTTTCTGGAACTTTCTTTGAGTCTTGACAAGGAACACTCTCAAAAGGTATAAAAGGGGGATGGGGGGACCTGTCCCATCCCTCAAGTGAATTATTGTTTCCAATACAATCATCACTCCTCTCAGTTCCTTGTCTGCCTTGTCCTGGCCTGCCCTGTTCCTGACACCCTTGGCACTTTCAGGCAACAGTCCACACAAATCTACAACCCTTATCGCTACCAGGTGGATTTGAACCACCAACCTTGCGGTGTGCTGACCATGCCTAACAGCCGCACCTGCTAAGCAGTTGCAGCACTGGCAGCATATTATAGTTTGGAGATGGTTGCCAATTGATCCTATTCTTTTCACACTTTTCCCATTCAAGGAAGCATTCAAAATGTGTGGCAGAGATTGCATATGATCATAGGATTGTTGGGTTTTGTGTTGACTCTCCATTCTCAAAATGGCATGCCAGTGCGGATTCAGACGCCAGGCTGCAGGGCAAAGTATGTAAATCAAACAATGGACCACTCCCCAAAGCCATTGGACTTCACAAAATGCCATGCAGTCAATTTTTCTGTCTGAACCCCTGCCATGCACCTGTGACAGCAAAAATGTGTCAGATACCATTTGCAAAATTGCAGCACAAGGTGACCCAATGCTGGACCGCGTCTAATGACTGCAAATACCACAGAATTTTGGGTAAAAGCACACACTTGAAGGTCCAAATACATTCACTGATAACAGATAAAATGGGGTTTTGGCATAATAGTGGTATGCGCAATGGATACCGAAATGAGGTTTTCTGTCAGTTCAGACATATTTGATACATGCTGCAGGCTGCACTGCGCAAAAAAAAAAAAAAAAAAAAAAAAAAAAAATTGTTGGTGTTGTCAGCATTTTGCCCAGAATGAAAGCCTGCAGAGGCGTGAACCAATTTGGCAGGTCTGAAAAGCAAACACGCATTCTCAAGGAAATTTGCTCTTTGGCAATTTGACACTGATACTGGGCGAAACGTCCCAAGCTTCACTTTGAGACTGAAAAACTTAACAGACATTCACCCTTCCCTCATCACACTGTAAATGCCCAAACTGCTGAATAGGGTCCAACACAAATCGAGTCCTTTTCAATGTTTGATTTGATTTGATTTGATTTCTGAATATAAATGACAATTTTCCCATGTCATTCGGCCATTTGATTCAGTAAATTTTCAAGTTTTGGGCTGAACAGTCAGACATGAGAAAATTTTACTAATGATAAAATCGCTTTTGAATCGAGTCCAAATGGTCATTCAAATCAGGACTCGCAAAAAGATGGCTCAGGTATGGGATCAAGCTTGGGATGCTCTGTGTGAGCACTGGGATCCTGTGTGCAACAAGGGGTTTAGGGAGTTGAGGAGAAGTGGCTGAATAAGGAGACTCAGGGAGTGACAGAGAAGCCTGATGGGTTGGGATGGGTTGACTCTGACACGGTGAGTGGCACTTTGGTGGGAGGTGGGTGATTATTGGGATTCTTTGCCACATCATTGTTTTTCTTTTGTTTTTTGTTGTGTTGAACTATTATTTTACTGAGCTGTCGTACATATTAAACCTTCTCTTATGTTCTTTGGCTCCTTTGCTTCACCTTGGCTTCTTTCTCTTTCACGTGTGGATCTTTTTTTTTTCTCTTGGACTTTCTCTTTCCTTCATCTGCATGTACTTTTTAACTTTCAAGTTGCAGATTCCTCACCTTCGGGTTGGAGCGAATAATACACTATTGAAAAGATAGGGTTAGGTTGGAAGGCCATTTATCCTATCCTAACCGAACTGCTGAGCCTTAGGTACCAGTTTTTCGAATTCTCTTGATGTGGGTTGTGGTTGGTTGGTGGAAAAGATGGAGCTCAAACAGCAGCTTGGGCTGCCACACAGTGTGTGTGCAGGATTGGCGTTGGCAGGCAAATCTGGGGCGCTGGAAGTGTGCACATGTGATTGTCAAACGGCAGAGCCCAAGTCACACACAGGAACCTGCGACAATCAGGTCCAGTGTTCTCTGAAAGCCAGAGCATATCTGACCACCCAGGTTCGAACTGGGGACCTCATGATATCATCTCAATAAATTACAGTCATGCGCTCTTCCAACTATGGTCAGAGCTGCCACAACTGCCCAAAATGCACATCCTAAGGACTGCCACGCACCAGACCCTACTCTGCGTTTGATTTGATTCAACCCAGCTTTTCAGATGAAAATAACTGATTGTCCCCCAATTATTGGACGTTTGAAGTTGTCATTTTGCAAAACACAACTGAATGCAGAGTCACAGACACTGCTGAGGCACAAACCCTATTTTTATTTATTTTGTTTATCTGGGCAAAAGACGTGCGACAAGAAAGAGCTCTCGCAGCATAGCCTGTGCGTTGGTGTAAAGCAAGGTTGCCAGGGCTGAGGTAAAGCAATTTGGTCAGAGCGTTGCTGGGCCCACTAGGAATGCTGGCTTACCGCTTTTTGCACCTGGGGACGCCCTGGGACCCAATGCATTAAGTGAACCTAACAGCGGTTCCATGTACACTGGGTAAGGCAGTCATGTGACGTGGGAGAAAGCCTTATGTCCGTGGGAAACAAAAAGGAAAAAAAAAGAAAAAACAACCATCACATTTGTCAAATCCCAAAACAGCAAAGGCGCAGGCAAGTACCAACACTGTGCCCCAACCAGAGATCACAGTTGAATGATATTGACAGAAGGGTGCAACAGCCGGGAATCGGACCCGGGTCTACCGTGGCAGGCGATAATTCTACCACTGAACCACTGTTGCTGTTGAAAATGCGAATTCCGGCTGCAAAATGTTGTACTCCTCTTTGTTGCAGTACACGCAAGCTGCCACTGATTGCGATAGACTCAAATGACACACACAGATCCCTTGCTCCAGCTGGGATGAATTCTACTGTGGCAGCAGTTGATGAGCACTGTTTGTTAGGTGGAATGGACTGGTTAGCCTCAAGAGGCACAAGATAGACCCAAACCTAATGTGACTGTCAGTTGTCGTTCTCACAATGCCCATGGTGTTATGAATCACCCTTTGGAAACCTCTGGAACCTTCTAGAACATTCCTTCATGGAACCTTGTGGAACCTTCTGGAACCTTCTTTGCTTTCCTGACTTGTCTTGTTGTCATTGGTATCATTGGTATCATTGTATTACTAATTGCTCTTTCTGGAACTTTCTTTGAGTCTTGACAAGGAAGACTCTCAAAAGGTATAAAAGGGGGATGGGGGGACCTGTCCCATCCCTCAAGTGAATTATTGTTTCCAATACAATCATCACTCCTCTCAGTTCCTTGTCTGCCTTGTCCTGTCCTGCCCTGTTCCTGACACATGGGAGAGTGAGCCACTGCCGGATTTGTAGAAGCTGAAGGATGCTTTCATGTGGGCTTTAATATGTGTTTGCTCATATATATCAAGAGTACTTCCCAGACGGTCCCCAGACACTCCCTTCCTTGACAATGTCAGGGCTTAGTGCTCACCATGTGGCACACAGTGCCATGGGGAATTGCCTTGCTGACATGCGAATCTTACAGATTCAGACCAAGCTGGAGACGCTGCTGGTGCTGGTGGCGGCGCTCACTGCATCAGAGGTGGGCACAGGCACCATCCACACTGTACAGTTGGGTGGTGCATGGTAAGCACCACTTCCACTGCCACAGGACAGGTCACACGTTATGCAAGGAAAAGCACTGTGCATATTCAACTGTGCAGATTTCTGTGCGCAATCCAAAATACGCTCTCTGTGAAAACAGTCACTGATTGATATCACAAGGGTTCAAGGGTGCTAAAGCCAGCTGCCCTCTCCCAGGTTTGGGCCGGGTGCCTTAAGATGGCCAGGCCAGCTGGTGTGGGATTCCAAGGACCAGATGGCTTCTTCAGTCTTACGCTCTCCCAGATGAGCTAAGATGGCTGCATCTGCCCAGTTGTACCTCCTGCACCCTAGTATAAAAGGGAACAGCTGGGCAATCCCCAGTATAGCAGCAACTGGACACTCAGCACCCACATAAAAACAAACCACTATTGCAACACACAATGTCTCAAACTACCAACACTTGGGTAATTGATCTGCAATGTCAACACACACAGACACACAATTGCAACAGTCCAGTCACCACTTGGACACAATTTTCGCGCTACTATCACACACTTGAGTGTTGTACCTTTGGCAGCTTGTAGGGTCTGCCACAGACTGAATTGGGTCAAATCTGAGGAAATTCAAGTTTGATTTGAAAATTTGAATCAGACTCGAACCAAATGAATTTTGTAGAACAAATTGATTTTAATTCGATTTGATTCAGGTTTTATTAGAAGAAAATCGAATTTCCATACGATTAAGCGCAATTCAAGTGCAATAATGGCCATTTGTCAAATTGAAATGTCTGGAAAATACTATTTTCTTGTCATTTAGATCCAAAAAGTTGAATCAAATCAAACCAAACCCAAATGAAGGTCCAGTCCTTGGTGAACCCTAGCCGCTTGATACTTTGAACATAAATTTACCTACGCTTGGGAGCAAACTCCAACAGTCACAGAGCTCCAGAAGACTACAGCAAAAAAGGAAAACTGCTGCACAGACTTAGAAAAAAGGCAAAGCACCAAAATCCCTTTCATTCAGGAGCAAATTGCAGCCAGCTTCTGGCCCAAAAGTTTGATTGATTCCACTCAAGAAATCTGGTCAACTTTGTTCAAATTGGCCTCCAAGTTTCTGTAACCTCTCCTCAGGCAAGCCTAATCAGCAACATTGCACCAGCCTCTGGAGAAACACAAATTGCGATTTTACCGAGCATACAATTTCCAGAGTAGTGGCTGCATAGTGTAGGGGTTATCACATCAGATTCTGATTCTGGGGACCCCGGTTCGATTCCGGGTGCGGCCTGGGGTGGTATATTGAGTGGCCCAGGCAATGCATGATTGTGCATCAAACACCAGCATTTCCGTTGTTGGCAGAAAATTGATTGTACCATGTCTGAAGAGATCTGTCCTTTATCCCACCTTAGCAGAATAAAAAATCAGTCCTTTTTGGTAGTCCCCTGCTTCATTTCACCTGTAACAAGTTGCTCTGGTGAGAGGGAGGACTTTTGTCTGTCACATTCAAAAGTTTGCTGAGATGCCTTGCTTGGCTGATGAGTGCCTCTGCGTGGGACATGTTATAAAAAAAAACAAGAAACAGCTTGCGCACTGAGAAAAAGGAAATTGCCAAAGTAGTTTTCCTCCTCAAGAACTGTAATGTTCCTAGCAGGTGGCTGATACTCATGCCACATTTCTAACACAGTCTTTGTAAACAGTCTACCCTACCCTGAGTGAGGGAGTGGAAGGAGTGAATAAAGTGGAGATGCGTGTTTGTGGGTGGTTGTTCTCCACAACTTGGAGAGAAAGACAAATAACCTCAGTTTGAATGATTGATACATAATGATGATATGCACGCTAATATAGTTGCTAGGCAAGCGTGCCCAGCACAGGGTAAAAACCTCTCCCATATTATCTGCTTGAGCAGAGGAGGAGGAAAACTGTTTACACCAGGTTTCTGTTCCACCATATACTCAGAGTATTTGTCAACAGCACAAGCCAGCCCTTTGGTCTGAGGCTGCACACTACAGACTCAGAGCTTAGGTTGACCTCCAAAAAGCCAGATCTCGGATATCCAGGAGATCCACTCCGGCGGATACAGACTTTTCCAGGTATGGAGGCGCAAATTCTGCAGACACACAGATGGTTTACAGCTTAGCAGTGCAAAGCAGAGTTGCAGGGTAGCAGAGTTGCACAGTTGCACAGTTGCAGAGTTGCAGAGTTGCAGAGCTGTGGAGGCAAGGAGTGGCAGAGCTGCAGAGTAACAGAGTTGCCAAGTTGGAGAGTCTGGGGCTCCCAGACTCCGCAACTTGGCAGCTCAAATAAGCCTGAAAGTCAAAAAGTAGCGCAGTCCTGGTCCCCTGGAATGCAACTCCCTGAATTTGCTTTGTTCTGCCACTCTGCTACTCTGGCACAGTGCTACTCTGCCACAACTCTGCAACTCTGCAAGTCCCCAACTCTTTGTTCAGTTGAAGAATCTTGCCACACACACAAGACAAAAAAGTAGTCTCCCCAGGAGCAGTCTGACCTGTCCCAGTAAGTATAGTGGCTAGTATCACCCCCTGTCACAGGGTAGGCCTGGGTTCAATTACCTGACTGGGAGCAGCAGCTGCGAGACACAGGCTCGTGTGTGCTAGATGCACACTGGGGCAGCGTGGAATAAAGCATTTGCCCCTCATCAGTTTCCTGTTATGGCCTTGCCCTTGTTCACGCAGACCCCACCAAAGCCACAGAGCACCTACTGGGACTGAAATATTTGAGGAGGTTCAAAGCCCAAAGGACTGCTGCAAGCTGCCCCCAATGAGGGGGGGAGACCCACCTGCAATACCTGCAATGGCCAACAGTGCCTGTGCTTAGCTCACAGTTTGCCTCTTGAAGAATCAAATTTGAACAAAATTGGATGCAACTGCTGGGATTCACAAGCAGTAGCACATGCGCAGCAAGACCAAAGTGCAGTAGCTGCCAGAGTGGACCCTAAGCACTTGGCTGCATGTCCAATGGGAAGATGTTTGAGTTGGCGTAACTGCCTAAGGCACCAGATTAAGGCTCTGGTCTCTCCAGAGGCGTGGGCTTGAATCCCCTCAAGGCCGCCTACGACGACGGCCACCAGATCGGCGCACACACGTGGAGCCACCCGGACATCACCAAGCTGTCCGAGGACGAGCTGCGGCGCGAGATGGGGCTGCTGGAGAGCGCGGTCAAGATGATTACGGGCGCGCGGCCGAATTTTTTTCCGGCCGCCGTTCGGGTTGTACAACAAGACGTCGGCGGACATTGTGGCGGGCCTCGGGTACACGCACTTTTTGCTGTGGGACATGACACCGCAGGAGCTGTCGAACAATAGGGGCCAGAGCACGTCGGCGGACGTGAAAAGAAGACGTACAATAACGCGGATCTGTCGGTGACGCATATTTCCTGCAACACAGCCAGATCAGGAAGACCGTCTCGGACATGGTTCCATTCATTATTAGCTGGGCGCAGAGCAAAAAGCTGAAGATGGTGACAGTGGCGGACTGTCTGGGGACCGGGATACCAAAGTACCGAGATATGGGGCAGCCGACAGCAAAAAATGATAGGTGGACATGCGACATAGGGTGTTATCCATGCCTTTTTGGAAGTAAACGATTGATCGCTTTGCTCGAACTTTGGATTTGCCTTTTTGGACCCAAGACGTTTTTCTTATCATCACTTCTGTAAACAGTCTACTCTGAGTGAGTGAGTGGAAGGAGTGAATGAAGTGGAGATGTGTGTTTGTGGGTGGTTCTTCTCCCCAACTTGGAGAGAAAGAGAAAAAAAACTCTGTTATGAATTATTGATACATAATGAGGATATGCACGCTGTAATAGTTGCTGGGCAAGCGTGACTGGCACAGGTCATTTTTCGAATTAAATGCCTGAGCCCTTGCTAAAAGTAACAATTTAGGTCCAAAACCCAACTCAAGTCCAATCGGGCTTCGAATCCTCCCTGATTCATGTAAGACGCTACTAAGGGTCCAAATCAATAACCAATACCGGAGATTTTGCATTTATTGTGTCACAATAAACCTTACAAACTAGTGGTGTGTGAAGACAACACAGAGATTCTCTGAGTAACATTTTAGGCTGGCATCCTCCAGATTTGGAGTGGATACTTGGGGAATACACAGACATGGTTTTGACATGTCTGTGTCCATGTTTAAGTCCCAGATGTCCGATAGAGGGCAGATACACATGCCTTGACGACAGAGAAGGCCTCCTCAATAGGATTGAGGTAGGGACAATATGGGGGAAGGTAGACAAGACGAACCCCTCGCTCAGCACAAGCAAACAGAACACAGTCATCATGGTGGATTCGTGTCTCCTTCTTCCATGTTGGGCAGTAGGACATTCTCCATAAAATCCATGAAGATATCAGCAGTAGATGATCCATCCACGGTGCATTTTGCGTGGATTCCATTGGCACCAAGGGCAGCAATGAGAGTGGTACTCTTTCCTTGAACGCCTGTCTGAGAGACAATTGCTCGACTTCCTCGACCACTGTACCTGTAATGACGGCTGACCATGGACGGCCGATCTTTTTGATTGCATCGTCCAAACAACCTGTTTTTATCGTTGGAATACCCATCTGGTTCCGGATCTGTCTTTCTGTCTGTCTGTCGGTCTGTCTGTTTCCACTGGATCAATCAATCTCTCATTTTCCCCTGTGGTTTCTTGACACGTCAATGAGTCGGTTCTGCGACTCGAGCTGGCGGTGCCGTTTCCTTCTGAGCGAATTATAAGTGTTCTATTGAAAGTCAAAAACAAAGACACCCCTCGCGGCAAATCTGCTCTCAAACGAAAAGAAAAAGGGGCTTTTTCATTTTGGGTGGTTCCCAGTCTCCACCAGATGCCCATTTCGTCGATATGCAGCGGGGGTGATAGCGGGCTTCCCACCCCCAATCACAAATGCGATTGGCTGCGTGAAACCAATTCGAGACTAACTGCGGCCGCTCTCACAGTACGTTGCCCAGCAGAAGTCAATGGGAAGGGAGGCCCAAACTGAACCGAAATCGGAACAAATATCCACAGTGGAGGGGAAAAAAAGAGGAAAGCAAGGAAAGAAACTGCGTTTGGGTCCCACATTGTTGTTTGGCGAGGCGGTGGTGGCTGAAATTCCGGCATTGTGCGCCTAAGGAGGTTTAGCGTGAAGGGCTGCTTGGTCGTTTGGAATGCCAGAGCGGCCCTTGTAGCCTGCCTGCGCCTACCCAAACAAGCAAACTCGACCAGAAGCCAACGACAAACACACACACACACACACACACACTCACAGACTCATCGCTCTCCCCCAGTTTCCGCGGCCACCCACCCAAACACGGACGGCGCGCAC